AGAGATTACTATTCCACCAAAGTTTTACAATTCGCTTATTGGTACGGGAGGTAAATTGATACATTCTATTATGGAAGATTGTGGAGGCGTCACGATTAAATTCCCTACGGCAGAAAGTAAAAGCGACAAGGTAAAAGAGAAAAAAAGATGATCATTCTTTGATCAAATTTGAAACTGTTACTAATAAATACATATGCACATATGTAGGTCAGTATCAGAGGTCCAAAGGACGATGTAGAGAAAGCAAAAGCGCAGCTTTTAGAACTAAGCAATGAAAAGCAATTGTCTAGTTTCTCAACTGAAGTGCGTGCCAAAATTCAACATCATAAATTCCTCATTGGAAAGAATGGTGCCAACATCAAGAAGGTAGAGTGCATGGATGTAATAAGTATTATACATCCAGATGCTATTTAGATAGTAAATTTTTATATAATTCTTCTCTTTTGTTATAGATAAGAGAATCCACGGGTGCACGAATTATGTTCCCGACGGAAGAAGATCAAGATAAGGAAGTGATTACGATTATGGGCAAGAAAGAAGCGGTCGAAAAAGCTAAAGCCGATTTAGAAGCTACAATTAAAGAGATTGTACGAGAATCGTTTTTTTTTTCTTTTTCCGAATAATCCGTATAAGTATACGTAAATATAAATTATCTCTGAAACCTTTCTTGATATATTTCCAGGACAATATTATCGAAGGTGAAATTCGTATTGATCCCAAGCATCATAGACATTTCGTAGCGCGAAGAGGTGGTGTACTGCACCGAATTGCCGACGAATGCGGCGGTGTGCAGATTTCATTCCCGCGGGCAGGCGTTGATAGCGATCGCGTTAGTCTGAAGGGCTCACATGAATGCATAGAAGCGGCGAAACAACGAATGCGAGAAATCGTTCAAGAATTGGTAAGTTCGTTGAAGAAACGTTGAATGCAGTCGTGCGTTATATACTCACGATTGTCTTCTCGATTCAGGAATCTATGGTAACAGTGGAATGTGTAATACCTCAAAGACACCATCGCACAGTGATGGGTGCAAAGGGTCGCAAAGTGCAAAACATAACATCCGAATATGACGTGCAAATCAAATTCCCCGATCGCGATGTGTACGGTTAGTATCAGTTTTCATTGTCTCTCTTATATGCAAATTAATTCACCAATTGAACTATTAATTTTATTGAATCTATAAAAACTTTGATTTTGCATATTATTCTAGATGAGCAAAAAGTACCGGACCAAGTTAATGGTGAAAATGGAGAAGGTGGAGAAACTATTCCAGCTTGTGATATAATTCGTATTACCGGACAACCTGAGAATGTTGCTGCTGCTAAGCAAGCTTTACTCGATCTTGTCCCTATTACGATTCAAGTTAGTTCATATTCTTTTGTATCGATCAGTTCTTGCAGTTATAAAACCAGTCTTAAGCAAAATTTTTCCTCTTGCATTTAGGTTGACGTACCGTTCGATTTCCATCGTTCGATAATTGGGCAGAAAGGTAAAGATGTGCGTGAATTAATGAATACATATGATGTACACATCATGCTTTCTCCAGCAGAGGAAAAACTGGATTATATTAAAGTAATTTTTTTTTTAAATAAATTGACTACGGGAATTAATATAAATATTTGTCTCATATACTTATTTCTCATCTATTTCTTAGATTTCTGGAACGCCGTCGTGCGTTCAAAGTGCCAAGGAAGCTATCCTTGAAAAATGTGAGGCTTTGAAGGCCGAACGAGAAGATCGAGCATTAAAATCCTTCGAATTAAAGGTGAGTTTATCATATAATTAATTTTTTTTAATAATTTAATATGTTCTGAAAAAGATGACAAATATTGTCAAAAGAAAAATAATACGTGAAATGTTATCTGGTTAATATGAATATGAAATACATAACTAATTTATTCAATTAGCTCGAAGTTGATCCGGAATATCACCCAAAAATTATTGGGCGAAAAGGAGCAGTGATTAGTAAAATACGTAGTGATCACGAAGTTCAAATTAACTTCCCGCGCAAGGGTGATCCCGAGGAACATATTATTACAATAACAGGATATGAGAAGAACGCATACAGAGCGCGAGACGATATCATGAAAATCGTCAATGAATTGGTGAGTTAATTTTTATTAACATATGAATATTCTTCTTTGTGTTTTAATGAATTCCGTTTTTATATTGAAACAACGTACCATAATTTATTTTTTCGTTCTCTTTGGTTTTTTATCCTTTACAAGACAATCCAGCTTAGTAGCAGAGTAATCGCCTCATGAAACTTTATAAGAATGTTTTTGCAATAGCGTTTAAAACAATTGCGCATTACGATTTATTATTTTCTCTCGTTTACTTTAGAATGGTTTGACAAAAGAGGAAGTGCAGATAAACGCTGCAGTTCATTCGCGTTTGATTGGTGCAAAAGGTCGAAATATTCGTAAAATAATGGATGAATTTAAAGTCGACATAAAGTTTCCGAGAAAAACCGATGCTGACCCCAATATTGTAACGATCGTGGGAGCGGAAGAGAACGTAGCCGATGCAAAGGATCGTTTGCTGAATCTAGAGGAGGAATACGTAAGTAACATCCGTTAAAAGCTATTCGTAATGTAAGTAGAAATCATTCTGCAATTATAATTTCTAAATAAATATATGTATGTGTAATGACAGATGCAAGACGTAATAGAGAATGAATATCGTGAAAGTTTGCGCTCACCTCAACGTGACGACGGTAACAACGTCGGTGGCAGTGAGAATGATACTGGCTTCATCGTGAAAGGAGGACCATGGGAGCAGCAACAGCAGCCTCAGAGCGCACCAAACACAGCCAGCGTAGAAGAATTCCCGCAGTTCGCTGGTTACTCTCATGTACCCGTTGCAACTCCGGATGGCCCTTGGGGAATTAAGCGTTAAAATATAGATCCAAAAAATCCACAGTAAAAAAAAAACAATTGATGGAACCTAATAAGCTAATGATGTAAGGTAACTTTCCTCTGACAAACGGTATGTAAAACACTACATATGAGCATACGCATGTACACGTAAAACACGCACGCACACACACACACAAACACATACATGTATACGAAACGGTAACATACACACATATGCACTTGTGTTGGGTGGTTCCCTGTTCCATTACTGACGTTGTTGCTGCATACGACCTGGCCATTCTATTGGACTTTGACACTGGTTTACTACACACAACGTTCGACGACGATGTTTATATGACACAATTCATAATACCGATGTCCTATGTATCTGTAACTGTAATGCATGTTGTCCTGAGTCCATTGCCATGTCACTCGGTCCAGTCGGGCATACACATGTACGTCGTGCACGATTTAATCTCGTGACTTTCATTTTTAATGATATGCTTTCCAGGTACAGATATGTTGTACTTAAGACTGTGGCTTTTCGTGGGAAATAATCAGGTCAGCATTCCGCAGGAAAAGACTGAGTCCACAGAAATTGCAAAGTAGAACTATTCTGTAGTATTTTTTACTCTACAGAAACGCAAATTGTCTGTGAATGCAATTTGTATTCTATGATAAGAAACAAATTTCTGTGTACATTAGTCCTTTCTTGCGGAAATTGGCTGATTTATTCGTGTATTATATTATTTTCACAGATAATCTTTGTACTGCGTATAGACTGCTAACAGTCATACGTTTTTCGTTGACCTTAGCATAATAATTTGTTAATTTATTTATACCTTTTTTGTACATATATCACATTTTCTCGTTGTTTTGTGCCACTTAAGTGAAGTGGTTTCTAAACTACATCACAATTGTTGAAATTTATATTGTAAAATTTTCACGAATCAAAGAAAAAAAAAAGACGAAACGTAGGGGCTTTCTAAGGAAAAGTTTGTTCCTTAGGAATTACGCAATTTTTTATTACATTAATTATTAATTAGTTACTGCAAACTCGAAATATGTCTCCGTGATTTTAATACGACGTGAGAGATCTGTCGATGCATTAAACGTATACTTATCAATAATTGTAAGATTTAAATAACAGATTTGTAATCGGAGATTACAAACCCGTATAATCTTCGTGAATGAAATTTTTGATGATCTATAGAAACAGGAAAATGTGTTTTATGCCATTTGTCGCGTTTGCATTGTTCCCAGTATATAGAAATCATTTTCTTGTATCTGTAACATCAAAATATGAATTATGCTATTTTTAATCATTGTATAAGCAATATATCAATGTTGTATGTTCAAGGAACACGATATTTAGAAGGCCTTGATCCCGCGCCGCTTACTCATTAAGATATATGAAATTGGCACTCTGCTGAGAATGGTCAAATTAAAACTGTTAAATGACGTTATGAAAATAGTGAACGATACACGAATTCCTTTTGATAGCCGGCTTTATTTATTTGTTCTACTTTACCATTTTGTACACCGTTTGATGTGCAAGTCTTTGCATTCTACTATTTATGAGGCCAACTAGCTAAGAAAAGGATATTCAGTTCAAGTGCCTTGTCTATTTTCTTCGAGACAGCTCATTTCAATTGTTGGAGGAATGTGAATAATAGATTATACATATAAAAAAAAATACAATATATATGCATATATTGTATTTATCCGGGGTATCTGAAAATCACTGGATGATACTCTAGGAGTAGATTCACTCACGAATTCAATGTTAAATGTAGCAACTAATAGTTCCAAATTCAGATTCTTTTATAGGCCATTTTGAATTTTTCAAATTTGCGAGAAATTACAATTTTTAATGGCTCATTTTTAAATTAACGATGTGATATTTTCGACAAATAAAATATTAAACAATGTATTTTATCTGTCTATAAAGTATCATCTTGTGATTTTAGGAGCCTGTATATATACACATCACATGTAAACACATATATATGGATATTGATAATAATTATTCTATACAATATGTAATATGTAATAGAAGAGAGAGAGAAGAAGTAATAGGTACCAATGTGGGTACATTGATACACTACTATTATGTGAATGAGATAATAGGATTATCATGTATACAGAAATTCACTTATATATTTTTTAGATTTACAGTAATTTTTATAAATCTACTTGGTACGGCGACCTATGTGTCATCTCCAATGCATGGTAAATGTAAGGAAAAGCCAGAATTAGTAAATTTTAATATGCTTAGTTTTGGCTAAGAATTTCATAGATGCTGTGCATGAATATAATTTTCTAATGAGTTATAATAAAATATATTGTAATTACATGAAACAATATTCTCTGTACACATAAGTAAATAACGTTATAACACATGGATTATATTGTAACAATATACTACATTCATTGATCTATTTATCCATTTCTTGTGTGCATACATTCTTTTCTGCCCTTTCGATCTCAGCTCGAAATAAAATAATTCATGAAATTGCGAATATATATATATTGGCCTTTGGCTAATTCTGGCATGTATTAATCTTCCTAATTATGAGATTAATACATGCCAGAATTAGCCAAAGGTACTGGTAAGTAAGTCGGCGTAGTACAAGTACTCATAAAAATTGTCAGTTTTAAATAAATTTAAACACTATAATTCGTAAACAAAGGTTGTATTTTCAATACTACGTAGTTGTTTCACGAATCCATCATTAGGTCTAATACAGCTTCTCGCTCTTTTCACTGTATTATAAGCTTCGTCGTATGACAATTTCATAGCAATCATTAAGTAAGCGATAACAATACTAGGAGAACGAGAAACGCCAGCGTTACAATGAATAAGAATATTTTCTTTAAGATTTGCATGTATGATGTCGATGCATTTTTTTATCGATGGTAATATATTCGATTCCGGCAAGTCTAACAAGTCACACGTATGATACTGAACGTCGTCATATTTCTCAGAGATATTGACACCTATACTCAAAATATGTCGTATTTCAAATTTCTTTAATATATCATTGCAAACCGCTGGATCTTGAGAACTGAGATACAATCCTGGTATTATACTAGCGATATGCAAATCAGGTCTTTCATCGACTACGAACGGCAAACTTTTTTCTAGTTTCTTCACTTGGCCATGTTCAACTTCATATTTATTGCCAAGTGGATCTGTTATCACTGTTTTGCATGATTTTAATGAAGATCTCTTTTTTGCGATAAGATCTCGTAAATCCATTATGCAAAAATTAATAAATATTTATTTTTTATAATACTTGCATCAAATATTATGTTAAATACGAATTTCGTTAAAAAAATATCATGTATTAACGTTATTGTCTATCACATAATAAAATAAATTTAATTTTATACATAGAATGTTACTTTTCAATTATTTCAATTAAGTTTTTGAAACATATATTTTTCGTCTTTTATTTTTTCAACTGCAGTTCTTGTTTTTGCTCTTCCAACTGTAATTCTCGCATTTGTTCTTCCGATCGTGGTTTCTCTTCTTGCTGTTCCAATATCGTGCAACGTCTTAATTCATCCGGATCATATTCTACATTCAATAGATGTAAGCCATTCGGTGGTACAGGAGTAATACGGGGGTTCCAGTTATAATGGGAAGGTACTTGTAACATTACAGTGATATCTTTCTCTGTTATACCTCCCAATCCCAACGTGATTAGAGCACCGACCATTCGTCTGACCTGCACAGAGCAGCACTTATAGCTTTCTTACATGCAAATGTGTTATTTGCAAATAAAATATTACCTGATTGTACAAGAAAGATCTTGCTTTACATGTGAAATGCCAATATGTAAAATTTTTGGATAGGGGATCAAAAGGCATCAAAGGCTGTGCCTCTTCTAAAGTAAAAGCCTGTAAGGCACGTACATATTGGATTTTGCGATCTGTTACAGCTCTCGCACTAAACGTGGTAAAGTCTTTTGTTCCCATAAACAACTGTGTACCACGTCTCGCTCTATCTACGTCGAAATTGTATGACCTGAAAGATATATGCCATAAGGTAGAGTACATAAATTTTTTACTTCTTTGTACAAGTACCTTAAATGGTAGGTATGTATTGCTTCTGGGAGGGATATCCGTTGTTCTTCAGGTATTTTAGGTACCATAAATCTGTACAAATAAGTTCGAGATTTACATGAATATCTTGAGTGAAAGTCATTTGTAACAGGTGTACAATCCAGTAACCTGTAAAAAAACATAATTTTACTAAATGAACTAAATTATAGATACTGGAATAGATGTACTAATGAGAAGATAAATGACTTTAAGAATTACCTAATGGTATGACCACATTTGGAAAAGTAACGATTAACAAATTTTTTTACAATTATTGAATTATATATCGTATTGTGTTTGTTTTCAAGCTCTACATGAGCGGTGTTGCCTAAAGCATGAACTCCGGCATCTGTCCTACAAAAATATATATTTTGTATGATAAAAGATTGATTGATTAATTTAGTCCTTCCAGCAAAATAAAAAGAACTTTTGACAATAAGGATCCTGCACCTTAGATACATTAAGCTGACTCTAGACATAAAATATTGTACAAAAATAATATGAAATATAGGAAAATTTACCTGCTGGAAAGAGTCAAGACTGGTCTAATTAAACTCTTTGGGGAAACTGTTAGTAGAGCAGTTTCTAAAGCACCTTGGATGGAATCGGTATCCCGTATGAAACTGTCGGAAATCTGCTTCTGCAAACCCCTTTACAAAAACGGTAATGTTACGTTACATAATAAAAAGAAAGAAAATTATTATAGAGTCTATGCACAAAACAACTGCTCGTGATAGTCGTGCCCAAATGTATATGTTTATATTAAAATATGAATACTTTATGTTATACCTGTATTGTGTACCAATGTACGAAAACTTAAGTAAATATCGTACCATAATTTTGCCTTCTACGTAAGAAAGCAAGAGGGATAATATCTTATTCCACTATTAGTGAAAAACCATATAATTTTAGTGGCAATCACCGCAATCACTCAACAATTCTATAACCTCGCTTTACAATAAACATAGATTGAAACAAACTGGATTCCAATTTCTCGTAGAATAGCTTTTTTATTAGCGTCTTATTAATGATTCGCTCGCTGTCAATTATTCCTACACGCACAAATTACGTAAACTTAAACAGCTATCGGCGGCAGTAAACACGATTCACGACCCACGACCGCCACGTGCATCATGTGCATGCCTCCTCCTATCACCTCCTACCCTTATCACCACCTAAAAATTCCTGCACATTTTATTACATACAAAGGATATAAGAAATACATTTATCGTATCATTTAGTTTAGCTTTAAATTCGTGGAATGTAAGAAAAAGATTAAATAATTTTTATGAATTTTATAGGATCAAACGCACTGATCTATATATAACTGGATAGTGAATAGGCCGAATTTTGTGAAGCAATATGAACGGCCGCGGGCCGCCATGTTGGCCGCAGCGGGCACTTCGGGCGTCATCGGGAGCCGTCGTGAGCGTTCGTGAATCGCCAAGTTTGAAGTTATTCAATATAAGATATCAGAGATATTTCTTCGAGATTCAATAATTTATCTCTACTGTGGGGTTTCCACGGGAGTCATAGATCTGACGGGCTTTGATGCTTTTAACCCTAGACAGACTCACTGGGGTCTACGGGACCCCACGCGAAATTCAAGTTGAGCCCCTGCCTTAGGAAGGTTAGTTTTCATACCGAGACCCTAACCATAATTCAGTTTAGTCATCCGGCAATCGACCTCTGTGATTCAGCGAGTGCGTTAGATCTGTGCAGCAGCTATGACCGAAAAAGAAAATCGTTTGGGGTATCGTAGACCCCAGTGAGTCATTTACGCTCGACATTTATCACAGTAAAGTGAGTAAAGTATATTTCAGATTTTTTGTAAAAATTGATAACAAAAAATTATACACTTTATAGCACTCCCCGGAAAATTCTACCCCTGTTTCATATATAATTGTTTAAAATTCGGTCAATTATTTCATTTTTGCTGTTCTTGCACAGCAACTGATTAAAACTTTGTAAAGTTTTTGTGGAGTTAATTTTACTGTTTCCATATACTTTTATAACTTTTGACTACCTTTCAAATAAATAATAATCGACAGAATCTGTTTTACTTTCCATTTCTTGCGATTTTTCCCATCCGACAGTTTTTCGTCATTTCTTCTACTTCAGATGTTCAAAAAAATATGTTTTTTTTAAGAAACGAAAAAATCGCTTACATGCCCTTGAAGGTTGTCTATTCGTCTTTCAAAATCCGTTGGAAATTTTAAAATCGGTGAATTTTATGAAAAACTACAGCATTTTTTATAAAAATAGTCATTTCAGCTCAATTTTTGGTTCTTTTTCTTGTTTTTCGAAATTTTTTTACTGGTTTTTTTTTACTATCGCAAATTGATGACTACTATCGTCTTCCCTATTAAACAACAAACAAAATTATCTATTATAAAGTTTTCTAAGAACATTCTGGAAATATTATACACGCGGTACAATTTTGGGGTTATTAAGACCCCAGTGAGTCATTCACGTATGAGAAAAATAAGTGAGTCTGTCTAGGGTTAATAGGTATTTTGACGCAACTGCTTGTCGACGTAAAACGGCTTGCTGAGATTAGACGACTGCAACAAACAGGCGCAAGAAAATCATAAGCAAAGTGTGTCACTTCTTTAAGAATAAAAATCGCCTGACATTTATAAAAAAAAACCTTCTATTTCTCACGTCTTTGTGTTACAAAATAATCGTAATGTTGTAAGTTAATAACGCGCTTTCGCTAAAGAGGTAATCTTTTTTTAATGTACGATTATCGGACGATTTCTTGATATGATGTGACGATTATTCAATGTTACAAATTGCAACAAAGATGTAATAAATACAGACAAATTAAATTCGCGATTACAATTGACAATTTTTGGGCAAAGAAAGAAAACTGTCAGACAAGAACGTTGCAGCATTGTGCGACATTTGCTGCACAGGAAATGACAAGTTACCAAGTGTAACTTAGAAAAAAATTATATAAAATTGTATCTTGCGGATATTTAAGGATTAACGCTCAATTGACAGTTTAAGCGCTAACTATCGATAAATCGCGGCGGATGTCCGACGCACGTCGATCTTGTCAAGGTCATCGCAAAATCCGCTCGATATCTACAAAACCGATATCCAGCAGAAAACGTTGTTTTACGTTAAGAACAACGTTGCGCGTCGGAATATCTCACTGTTAGCGAAATCATGACTGTTAACGACCTTATTGTGTTAACGAAATTCCGATACGAGACGATGGAACCGGCACGTAGCACTAACATTTCCTCAAGGCGCGCGAGGAATGGCATGCACTTGGACGAATTTAACAGAAACGCGATTCCGATCCGCGAGGAAAGGCTGCGATTTATTTTGACACATATGCCAGACGTTA